ATCTCTGGTTGAGAGGCCAAGTGTGCCCATCTCTGATTGAGAGGCTAAGTGTGCCCATCTCTCGTTGAGAGGCTAAGTGTGCCCATCTCTCGTTGAGAGGCTGAGTGTGCCATCTCTGATTGAGAGGCTGAGTGTGCCCATCTCTGGTTGAGAGGCTGAGTGTGCCTATCTCTGATTGAGAGGTGGACTGTGCCCATCTCTGTTTGAGAGACTGAGTATGCCTGTGTGCCCATCTCTGGTAGAGAGGCTGAGTGTGCCCATCTCTGGTTGAGAGGCTGGGTGCCCATCTCTGGTTGAGAGGCTGAGTGTGTCCATATGCCCATCTCTGGTTGAGAGGCTGAGTGTGTCCATCTCTGATTGAGATGCTGAGTGTGCCCATCTCTGATTGAGATGCTGTCACAAAACTACCAGGCCCAACACGCAGAACTTATGTCTTACCTAGTTAAGGTAGAAATAGAGAATAGAAATATGCGTATTACTGGTCCTTAGAGTTGACTGGACTTATGGTAGAGAAAAATAGGAGGCAAAATTAGGAGGCAATGAAAAAACAGTAAATAGGGATATTAAAGGGACACTATAGTCACCACAACAAAACCAGCTTAATGTATTGGTTCTGGTTTCTATAGCCTGTTCCTGCATGTAATGTAAATACTGCCTTTTAACTCAGATGGCCACTAGAGACGCTTCCTAGGTCAGTATTGCACAGTGTGCAGCAGCTACATTCATTATCTCCACACTCTGCATTGGAGGAGTTGAACTTTCTCCATAGAGGTGCAGATTGGCGCAGTGCTGCATTTTTCCGCGCATGCATGATAGCCTTCCAATGGGAATACATTGGATTGGCCCAAGGGGGCAGAGCCAGCAGTGACTGGACCCATGTGGCGCTGGAAAAAGGTGAGTAAATCACCTTTTTAACTGGAGATAAGGGGGGCCGTCGGCCTCAACAGCTATTTAAACTTATATTATTGGGAATACTTTACCTTTAATTCACCTTTAAGCCTTTAACAAACAGAAATATACCCTACAAACCCCCATTTAGCCTCTTAATATACACCAAATAAATGTACAACATAACTATAAAAGAATAAACCAAAAGAATATGGTGTAATGTAAAAAAAAAAATAATAATTATAAATTATTAAATTAAACGAAATTCTTGGGAAAAACTCACCATACTTGGGAACACAGAGCATTGCATGAAAATATATTAACAAAAGTTATGAGTGACTTTATAATGTTTTATTCAAAGTTGTAATTTCCAGAGATTTTATAGTGTTTCTGACAGAATTTAGAAAAAATAATCTAGAGGGAAACGATCACAGATAAAGGGGTGGGTAAGTGAGGTAAATTAATTGCTGGCTCATTGCTTAGGGAATACAGCCATCAAGTTAACTGCTTGGAATCGGACCCAGATAATTTGTATATTCTTATATAGGATGTTAAACCCTTTGGAATTTGGAACTCTCGAGAATTTGTGGCCCAATATGTCAGATATGTGACCATGTCTTAGTGAAATAATACTGACAGAAAGATAATATATATATATAACTATTCTCTAAACCACCAAATTGTACTGAAAAGAAAACCGAAAGACAACATTTTGGCTGATATAAACAAGCTGGGGTGAATTTTATCGGCTATTGTGGCCTACATTTTGCAGTTTGGTTTTGAACTCACTAGTTTGTTGGTGTTCAGTGAATTAACCATTACATTTCAAATCTCACATCTGTCTATCTAGAACTCTCTATTCTCCAGGATTTTACTTGCTGCCCCCTCTGGTATCCAACAGGTTAAATAATATCTGTATTAAACCATATCTAGCCCTCTCACACAGGAAGGGCTACTTAAAATCTAACAATTTTTATTATTGCAGTAAATTTGCAGATCAGATTTCCTATTACCGCTAAGAGATTGGTTCCCTCGCTCACAGTTTATCCAAGTGAAACGGATTATCCGTAACAAAGGGATCTTCCTTAAAAACTACCTGTCACCCTCCCTACCCCTAGGAAAAACCTAATATTAACCTGTAAAAATACCGAATGGGTCTCCATGACAAGTTATTCAACTGTTCAAAAGATATTATTTTTTTTATCAGTGTTGTCGGTTAATTGGCACAGAAGTGAGTGTAATGTAATAACCCAGTGTATCTTGGCCAAGTGCAGTCCGGATTAGGAAAGACATTCCCAAATTTGGGCTCCTGTCTCCGCCCATATCTATTTTTCCTGTTATTTTTAATATCAAATTTGTTTAAATGTTCTTAAACAGAAACTAAGAAGATACAGCACATTTTTGCCCCGGTTGGGCCTCTCGTTGGGCACCCTGTCACGTATGTTCATATATTTTCCAACAGTCACGGATTTGACGGGCCAGTCCTGAAATTGGAGTCCTATTCTCCTTCCCGAGTTTGCTCTCTGGAATCCTACGTCTTGGAATGTGCTGTGGAGCGTGATATAGAGTCAAGCCAAGCGGACATGCCCTTGTTTTACATGAGACCACCACTTTTGGGACATGCCCATCCCTTTGGGCATTGCCAGTGAGGCAATCAAGAGTGCTACAGGGAAATACACTAAAATGTAAATTGTTGGTTATTAAACGTAAATTTCAAATTCAGGCCAAAATAGCAAAATCAGACAAAAATACAAAGTCTTCTATTAATCTGCTTATTTTGGCCTCAAAATCTGAATTTGCTTGAATTCCTGGCAATTAACACTGTAGGGAAAAACCCGGTAGATGCATGTGAAGTTGGTAATTTTAGGTGAGAGGTCTTCAAAAGGCGACTACATGACACAGCAAGAGACCTTCCGCCAGGTGCTGTGCCAAAGATTTATTTGTGACCTGTAAAAACGTCATGCTAGTGCAGAGAATAAAACAACGATATTCTGAGACAAAGTAGTTACAGTGTCAATCCAGTGTCAATCCTGACAGCCATCACCAGTGACGGCAGCAGGGAACTGGCTCTCTCTATGAGAATCCCGTGATCTTGTGGGATGTTCCATAGAAATCAATGTTGTACTCTCGCACATGAGCACTGAAGTCGGTCCTTCATCAGGAGCTGAAGAGGACTCGCTGGAACAAGATGGCCGCACTCGTGAGGGACAAGTCCAAGGAATCAAATTTCACTTATACCTGCCCACCTCCCACCCACCGGTCCCCCAGCGGTGGTGTCACTCTTGGGGCTCTTTGCAAATTTGGCAAAGTCCCCATACGGGGACAGTGCCGCGTTAAAGTGAGAATTGTGAATTGTGTGTCAGAAGATGGGCCGAGGAGACAGAATCAGCACAATACTGTCTCCCCAGCTCCCCCACCTACATATTGTCTTAAAAAAATTTCATAAACAACTTGGATTGCAGTCTGGCGACCAAATCACCAGAACCTCTCAATGCCATTATTTTGCGAAAATACAAGTTTCACTGCTATGTTTGTTTAGATAGATAAATTAATTGTTAGATAGATAGACAGACAGACAGATAGATAGATCTGAATCATTAAAAGGGTTTGTAGAACGGCACACGGCTCTTCTTACACCATAAATTTGTGTATTGTCTCACACCTTGCTCTGCAAGTACATCCGCCCCACATCATCTTTCTCATGAAATATACAGAGGGGTGAGGTCAGGGCCTACTTAAATTGCAACTGGAAGTAAATTAAAACATCTTGTCAACATTATTCACCTGGCTAGGCCCCAATCCTTTATAGCCTTACCTGTATTTTTAAATAAAACATAATCTTTGAATGTCAGAGCCCTAAAAAGAAAGCCGGCCTTTTCAAAAACTTAGAAGAAGAAGAATGTCCTATTGCTTTGGAAACCAGAAAAATAGCGATATGAGAAAATATCACTATAGGATTAAATATCAATATCAGGGAAATCACATTTGTTTCTAATTGTTAATAAATCATTATTTCTTGATTTATTTTTGTAAATCTACAGAACTTCAATTTGCATCTGTTTTCCTCGAGTACAAGATGAATTGTACTGAGTCCTCATCATCAGCATAGGAGCCCCCAAAACTTGGGGAAGGGCCACTGTTTTTTTTTGTTTTTTTTTACTAAAAACCATGTGCCCAACGCATTTACCACATACTGAATGTTTGTGTTTTTAATCAAAATGGCGCCCTATCACTGGGATGGGAGTAGGTAGCTTTTTATTTGTGATAATTATTGTGTTAGTTAGATATGAGAGGAGAATTTAAGTTTGATTGTTTGTTAAGTTTATAGTATTTAATATTTCTATTTCTTTAAAAAAGAAAGGGTTGTACATTTCAAAAAATTTTTTGTTTAACCCCTTGAGGACCAAACTTCTTGAATAAAGAGAAACATGACATGTCACACGTGTCATGTGTCCTTAAGGGTTTAAGCAACTTGCCATGACCTTTATGCAATGCATTTCTTGGAATTCCCAACAATCCACTCTTTAGTAAATAGCCCTGAGTAAGAGTTTGACAGAGTAAGAGAAGAATAAAGATCAGTGGATAATTTAAACATATAACAAGTAAGGCCTTTAATTGGAGACATAGTGACACTCAGTGTCTGTTCAGACAAACACTAGGTGACTGGAAGCCAGGCTGATTCGTATGGGCAAAGTTAGCTTTGTGTATGTAGTTCACTACTCGCATGGCATTTTGTGTGAGTTCTATCTCTGCTATTCCGAGATGCCGGACACCAGGGTACCATCGTGGGATAGTTGGACAGGGATCCAGAATCAGGACTGCACCTTTAAACAGTTGGGAGTTATACTCTTGTATGGGTGGCATGCCATCCGTTAGCCTAGTGTAAGCTTGTTTAATTGTGTGCTGTGATTTCCGGGGGAATTTGTGTCTGAAATACTGTCAGGGTATTTATATCGGCAGACATTTTGTGCTATGATAGAAATTAAAAGTGTATATTCTGAGTCACTCTGAACAAAGCAGACTCCATTTTGTTATTTCCAAGTTAACAAAAAGACACAAGATTTCTATCTGTAAACTAACCACTTTCCCAGAGCTAAAGGAATGCATAGTATAAACAAGTGATAAGAAGAACGGGGGTTGGATAGACTGTCTATATGTATAAGGTCCCATTGTAAGTTATGGGTCAAAACTCAAATTTGCCAGACACATAGTCTGGACAAAACTTAAAGAAACCCTTTGAAATTTTAAGTTATGGCACTATAAAGATAACGCAAAATGACGTCAAAATAGCCACCAGGAAAAGTTAACTCTTTCCTGGATAGGTATGTTTAGTGGGACAAGACTGCCCTCTATAGACCAAATAACTAAATTGCGATCTGGAAGATAACCACACCTCTAGTGCTTCTATTGGGTTATCAACTGATGACGTACAGAGAGTCTGGCCCTTTAAAAGTTAGGACAAAGGGAAGATAGAGGAATGCAAGGGATGCAAAGGAGAAGGAAAAAGAGGAGAGAGGAATTGGAAGTTTGGGGGACTCCAACTCAGACAACATCTGAGACTAACACTCTACTCTTAAAACTCTAACACTTAGAATTTCACTGACTTTCTAACCAACACCACCTTTCACCATAACTCATGCACCTACGGACATCCAAATAAGTTCCTGAGACTATCTACCAATCGGATGAAATATCTACTCAACTGGTAATTATACTGGTTTCATTTAATTAATTAAATTAATTAAAATGTACTAATAGCATGATATATGACTGGATAAAGCACGGTCAGATTTCCATATTTAAGAAATCTTAGTTAACTAAAGAATATATAGTTATAAACATTCCATTCTGCAGGTGGAATTAAGAATAATTATATATTAATGTGATTTTATCACGTGTTAGCATACCGCTGTTTTTATCCAGGTGTATTGATTTGCTCTAAATTAAGATAAGATATCTTTTAGACAAATTAAAAATTCTGCTTATATAAATATGGTAGATTCTCTTATTGGATGGTTCCAGGAAATGACTAATGAACTGGTTTAAATGTTATTTTGTTTAAAATTACATAAGAATAGATCTTAATTATCTAGGAGGTCTAGCCAGCATTGAAAGGGTTATTCTAACTGTTAGCCAGGGTTTTATGGCCCTTCGCTGTGAAAAGTTTTGCTTTCTCTCTGTGTAAGGATCAGTGGTGTATCCTGGTTTTGTGCTGCCCTAGGCAGGACAAAACTCAGGCGCCCCCCTCCCCCCGCGCCAGCCCCACCCAACCCTTCCCCCCGCCCCACCTTCTAAATACACACACACAGTCAGACACAAACACACACACACACACACACACACACATACACAAACACACACACATACACAAACACAGTCAGACACAAACACACATACACAAACAGACACACTCACAAACACACAAACACAGTCAGACACAAACACACACACACATACACAAACACAGTCAGACACACAGTCAGACACAAACACACACACTCACAAACACAGTCAGATACAAACACACACACACTCACAAACACAGTCAGACACACAGAGTCAGACACAAACACACACAGTCAGACACATACACAGACACAAACACAGTCAGACAAACACACACACAGTCACACACACAGTCAGACACAAACAAACACAGTCAGATACACACAGAGTCAGACACAAACACACACACAGTCAGACACATACACATACACAAACACACACACAGTCAGACACATACACAGACACAGTCAGACAAACACACACAGTCACACACACAGTCAGACACAAACACACACACACACACACACACTCACAAACACAGTCAGATACAAACACACACACACACATTAACTTTTTTTTAATTTAAATCCCCCCCCAACCTCCTTACCTTTGGGAGTGCTGGGGGGGGGGGTCTCTCTCTCCCTGGTGGTCCGGTGGCTGCAGGTTGAGCGGGCGGCGCTGGCAGGCGGGCGGCTGGCGAGGGAGCTCTTCTCTGAGCTGTCAGCTCAGCTCCCTCGCGCGCCAGCTGCAGAGTGAGGCTGGGAGCCGGAATATGACGTCATCTTCCGGCTCCCAGCTTCACTCTGCGGTGCGCGAGGGAGCTGAGCGGACAGCTCAGAGGAAGTGCTCCCTCGCCAGCCGCCCACCTGCCAGCGCCGCCCGCTCGGGATGTCAGTTAGCCGCAAGGCTAACTAGGCATTTGCCCTGGGCATTTGGGGGGCGGCGTTTTTTGCCGCCCCCTGAAAAATGCCGCCCAAGGCAAATGCCTTGTTTGCCTCGCGGCTAATACGTCCCTGGTAAGGATAGTCCTAAATTGTAAAGTCTTGACAGATAATGCTGTTTACCCATTGAAACGTGTTTAGCCATTCCTTTGTATTGCATACCATTTTATACTGGATATTCATTGATTATTGTTACGCATGTTACATATTATTATTATTAATTAATTTATTATAAAATAAAATCAATTTTTATAACAAAAATTGTGATATTATTTATATGAAAGATTTCTCACTTAACACGATAACGATATTTGGGATCTGAGAATTGAATTAGTGGGCAATTCTCACTGTTACTATTATTATCCCATAAATATCCCCACAATACCAAGAAACAAGTGATAAACATGGGACTGAGGGAAAAGGGTACAAAATCAGGACTGTTCAACTAAATTGCAGACAGTTTGGACGCATGACATTGTACGGTATTTATTCTGGCTTTTGGGCTCCCACTACCCAGCATTCTCAGAATCCCACTAATTGCGCATGTGCAATGCCCATATTAAGACATGTGTTTCCCTTTTGCCTGATCTAAATGATTTATAATCTTATGCTGTGTAAATTAAGACACTAACTCCTTTTTATTTATTTTTTTATTTTAAATTCTGGTTCTAGTGATTCATAAAAGTCAACCGACTCGACTGATGTCCCATTTTACTATAGACAATTAACCTGCCTGACAATTAACCAATCACCAGGCACAACAACAACATAGAATGATAAAAGCTGAATATTACCTGGCCCTCCACGTCGTGTTAACCCTAGATTTGCTTGAGCTATTGTCTCAGGGATGAAGTGAATGGTACGGAGTCCGTGAATCTGTCCAAAGGATCACAAGCCATTATTGGAGCTTTTATATCCAAGCAACCAGCATATCTCCAGATCCAATCCTGCTCTCTGGCTGTTGGCAAAAAGGAGCCTCTGAAGGCTGCTCTAACGTCATAAATTCAAGTAAATAACGCAGACAATGGCCCGACAAGAAAGGAAGAGCATCTGCCTTATTAACATCAAAATGGCCTGGTGCTCAGAGCGCGGATTCACAGCCTGTGTAATCCTTTTAGAGTATGTTCCTATCTCTCACCTGTCAGCTAGGTGAGCAGTGTGCTTCACGAAAAGGCTAAGTCATCCTCTTATATGTATATTTATTTAATTCTCATAATGCATACATCACTCTGCAATAATGCAATTTGATAACTTATGGTCAAAGGTATGGATCAAACGATCAGACGGAGAGTATAGATATGCTGCCATACTGCAATTTTATATCCGTATTTCAGGAGGTATGGAAAAGACTGTAGGTTTACATCTTTATTTCAGAAGGTATGGATCAAACCTACATGCTATGAGGTTATATGAATAAATCAGGAGGTATGGATCAAGCTTTTATACTACAAATTTCAATCTGTATCAAAAGAGGTATGACTCAAACTGCTATATTTTATATATAGACTGCAGAGAGCATGGATCAAACAACATGCTAGAACTCTGCATCACAGAGGTATGGATCAAACTGGCATGTCACTATTTTATATCTGCATTTTTTTGAAGTATGGATCAAACTTGTAACCTGCAGTTTTATCTCTGTGTCTGAAGAGGTATGGCTCCAACTGACATACTGCAATTATATATCTGTACGGCAGACGGTATGGATCAACAGCCATCCTGTACTGTTATATCTGTACACCAAACAGCATGGATCAAAGTGACATACTGCAATTATATATCTGTACGGCAGACGGTATGGATCAACAGCCATCCTGTACTGTTATATCTGTACACCAAACAGCATGGATCAAAGTTACATACTGCAATTATTTATCTGTACGGCAGATGATATGAACCAACAGCCATCCTGTACTGTTATATCTGTACACCAAACAGCATGGATCAAACTGACATACGGCACTTATATATCTGTATGGCAGACGGTATGGTTTAACAGCCATCCTGTACTGTTATAAGTGCTGTATGTTAAACCATACCGTCTGCCGTACAGATATATAAGTGCCGTATGTCAGTTTGATCCATGCTGTTTGGTGTACAGATATAACGGTACAGGATGGCTGTTGATCCATACCATCTGCCGTACACATGTATAATTGCAGTATGTCAGTTTGATCCATGCTGTTTGGTGTACAGATATAAGAGTACAGGATGGCTGTTGATCCAAACCATCTGCCATACAGATATATAATTGCAGTATGTCTGTTTGATCCATGCTGTTTGATCCATGCTGTTTGGTGTACAGATATAAAAGTACAGGATGGCTGTTGATCCATACCGTCTGTCGTAAAGATGTATAATTGCAGTATATCAGTTTGATCCATGCTGTTTAGTGTACAGATATAACAGTACAGGATGGCTGTTAAACCATACCGTCTACCGTACAGATATATATCTGTATACCAAACAGCATGGCTCAAACTGACATACTGCAATTATATATCTGTATGGCAGATGGTATGGATCAACAGGCATCCTGCACTTTTATATCTGTATCACAGAGAATAAACTGACACAAGACCAAGGACAATTAAAAATAGTTTTAGTTTTTTCCTAATGACTTTATTTTGACCAAAATATTGCAGACTGATTGTGAATAAATTTTGTAGCATTTAGTAAGATATGCTGGGCAGACATACACATGTGACTATCATACATTCATGTTTATTTTTGCCTACTCCTGAACTAACCAGCCGTATATGGAAACCAGTACGTGGAAATATCTGATTATTTGCTATCCTATCATTAATGGCTCTATTATTGTAAGCCATATCTAGTGTCATTTCCAAACGTGGCTTTTTATCGGAGTCTGCTAAAATGCATCCCCCACTCCAGTGATGCCTGCTTTGGCATTGTAACCCAACATTAACTGGTCCATGTGGCATTGCTGCAGCCAGAATTTGCCCATGTAAGCAGATAAAAGCTAGTTTATTGAATTCCCCGTGGTCAGCAGAGCCAATCTGTGGCATTGCAAAACGTGGTCAGCAGTTCACCCAGGCAATAAATTAGCTCCCAATGAGAAACACAAACTTCCTGTAACCAAAACACCATCTATTTAGCAAACAAAGGCGGTTTGTGTGAAGGGATCAGGTATCCGCCATTCTGTGCTCTTACCTTTATGACATTTGCATGTCCGTCATGGATCCCACACTGTCCTCAGCTATACACCCAGAGCTTGGCGCTGCCCCCTACGACTTTCTTTGGTGGAGTTTGTAGGGTCAAGAGCCCCCTGCTTCAATGCTTCTTGCAACACACAACACAGCCCCCTCGTGTCCCTTCCCAATGCATATTTGATGACGGCTATTATTCTCATCTCACTCATGGATGGAGAGAGAAGGCAGACGGTCCTAACGAGGCGCTCTAAATTGTTTAACCCCGGAGTTGCTGCCTTGTTAAAGACTTAAGTGTAACTACTGCGAGAGTGGAAAAACAAGGGTGCAAAAATATACAATTATAGAAGGGGGCGGGGGGAGGAATATATTTAAAATGTTTAAAAAAATAAGGTAAAAGATGCAAACATAGAATTAGATGGGAAGGTGAGGAGTGTCTGTATCAGAATGTGAGGTTAATTATGGAGTATTGTGGTTTCCAATGTGGGGGTAACAGGATAAGTTAGTGGAATGTGCTGTTTGATACTAATTGTTACAGCACAGCGATGGCTAGCCTTGCAGCCCAGATATGAAGTATCTTCCCATGATACTCAGAAAGCCGAGTGACACTCACGGCTTAGTCTGCATTCGTTGCATTAACATTTTGCAAGGACCTAATGGCATTATATTAACATATAGGGATAGTGTATTTTTAGAAACAACATTACAATCCAGTTCAGTCCTGGCACAAGCAGAGCACCAGAATGATATACTTCTGCTGTGAGATCTGTCAGCCGCTGCAAGCATCCTCATTAATCTACATAATATACATGCACACACTTACTTTGGTTCATTGTTTTCAATGACAAGTGTGACTTAATGCCAGTACCAGCATTTAGAATATAAAAAAAAGATCTATGATATTTTATTCGATTGCCATTGAAGTATAAACTATTTTGAAAATATTCTTCTTTTCCCATTTTGGGAAGATTTTTTATGCATACAGATTTTAAGGACAGTTCCTTAATGCAGATCATTTATATTTTCATACATAACCGAATAATCCTAATTCTGTCTATATGTTGTGGAGTTTTTTCCCCCCATGTCAAATTCTTGTTATGTACATATAAAGTGTTCTCAAATTTTAATTTGGATGAGATTTTTTAGCCAATCCCAGCACTGCCATGCTTCAATGAGCTCTGTGTACATTCACTACAAATGTAACCATTAGAGGTTAAAGGACACTCTTCCTATTCCTAGCACTATAATATTATTATTTCCATTTATATAGCGCCAATAGATTCTGAAGCGCTTTACAATATTATAAGAGGTGAGATTTAAAGGACCACTATAGTGCCAGGATAAAACATACTCGTTTTCCTGGCACTATAGTGCCCTGAGGGTGCCCCCACCCGGCTCTGGAAAGGGGTTAAAACTTACCTTTTTCCAGCGCTGGGCGGAGAGCTCTCGGCCTCCTCCGTTCCGCCCCGCCGGCTGAATGCGCACGCGCGGCAAGAGCTGCGCGCGCATTCAGCCGGTCACATAGGAAAGCATTCATAATGCTTTCCTATGGACGCTGGCGTGCTCTCACTGTGAAAATCACAGTGAGAAGCACGCAAGCGCCTCTAGTGGCTGTCAATGAGACAGCCACTAGAGGGAATAGGGGAAGGCTTAACCCATTCATAAACATAGCAGTTTCTCTGAAACTGCTATGTTTATTAAAAAATGAGTTAACCCTAGCTGGACCAGGCACCCAGACCACTTCATTAAGCTGAAGTGGTCTGGGTGCCTAGAGTGGTCCTTTAACTATAAATAGGACAATTACAAGAAAATTTACAGGTACGATAGATTAAATAGGGCCCTTCTCAAACGAGCTTACATTCTATAGGAGGTGGAATATAAAACACATTAGACAGGAATTAGTGTTAAACTATTTAGGTCACCGGCCCCCTTAGATTGCATGGGAAAGGTGCTTAACCCCTTAAGGACCAAACTTCTGGAATAAAATGGAATCCTTAAGGGGTTAAACGTACTTTTTCAACCACACGGTGGCTGGCACCGCCTCTACGACTGAGATCATCAATCTTGTTGAACTCAGACAATCTAATGCTATCCCACACGCAAAACGCAGCATTGCGATATTTAGCATCTCCTCATGAAATGTTCAGTGACTACATGCAGAGGGTTGAGACGCTGAATGTAAATGCTGCACACTGTGCAGCACTCACACAGATAGCACCTCTAGTGGCCATCTGAGTGACTGCTCCTAGAGGTGTTAATAAGCAGCAATGCAAACAGTATCTTTTAATTGAAAAGGCAGAGGTTTAGAGCTCAGCCTGCAGGGACAGGCTATAGACACCAGAACAACTATATTAAGCTGTATTGGTTCTGGTGTCTATAACTTCCCTTTACTGGGATTTGTAGCTAAACCATCACAAGTAGTTTCAGGGCCACTGTGAGTTTGTTTGTTTGGAGTGCTACTTTCAACCCTGCTCCTCCTGTCTCTCAACTGTCAATCAAGTTATAATGCGGGGAAGGCGACGGCTTGTGGAAAGGTTCTAATCAGCAAATAAGCGAATCCATACAATTTCTGTAGTTTATGTCTTGACTTGACTGGGATGCAGACTAGCCCTTATTTATTTGTGAGGATTCTAAGAAACTTGAAAATAACACAGAATTAGGAGATGCATTTTATTATGTAACTGCATAGTCACAGATGTGCCCCATATGAACAAAAACAAAACAAAGAAAAGAAGGTCAACAGGGCACACTGCATTTGGTGAATCATTCCTTCAATTTATTAGATGAACAGAACTCTCCCAGAAAAGGACACAAACAAGTCCACTGTTGAAGATGATTGTGTCTACGATGTAACAAGGATGAATAGGGTGCCCTTTGCTTTGCATTGATCTTGTTGAAGTTTTGCTTGGTACATTGATCTTTGCCCCCCACAAAATCGGACCATGTTCACTTGGGAGGATTAACCCTCACGCCATCAAATCCTTGGCAATGGTTTTGTAGATGGATGCAAGGCAGTGAGGCATGCCTTCTACAGAGAGATCGCAGCTTTTACTTCTTCACAATCTGAATGACGTCCTCATGCTCCATATTGTGGCTCAGACCCACTCTCTGGGGGCTGTATTTAGTACTTGTACCCTGGGGGAAAAAAATATTCAGGAATTTTAGCTGTTGAGTTACCTGGAGGAACATGATAAAGCAATGCCAGGGAGAAAGCCAATGAGACCTTTATCATAGGTCAACAAAATGTCAAACACAATCGGCACAGCTTAATAGGTGAAAATAAAAATGTCAGTCTTTCACATTGTGATCACATGTATTGCCAGTCCTGTAATGCTCTAATGGAACAGTAAACGTTCTTGACATAGAGAAATAGAGGAAGTGTTAAACGGCTAGGCATGTGTGGCATCAACATGTATCAGTGGGATTTGGGTTTAGTTTTAGAAGAATGGAGGCCACTACACAAAATAACCTAATTAGCAAAAGAAGACATAAGGGGTAAAGCCCTATTTCATTCCCCCCCTCCAGCGGTTTATTAACAGGAAGGCCTGAGCTGTGAGCACTCTGTGCATTTGGAATCGGACAAATTGTCCTCCGTATTAGCTTGATCAAGCAGCAGTAACTGGAGAAATGTATAGACCTCAAAGGACCTGCCAACCCCTTCTGAGATTCCCGCTTGAAGCAGTCTGCTAATGAGTGAATGGAGCAGGACTCCAGAAGATCGGGGATTGAATTGATTAGCACAGGCGGTAATGCCTGGTGCTCTGGAGACCATAAAAGTGAATGTACCCGAATAAATAATTTGATTTTCAGTAATACCTACCCAAACAAGGGCATATTTAAACTGGCTAGCTAGCGTCCTGTGAATCCGATGACACTAAAATAGAAAAAACAAAAAGACAATCTTTAAATAAAGAATACTTTCAAACATGTAGGACGATCATTATTGGAAAGTAATAAGATTAAGTATCAGTAAGAAAGATATATAAATTAACTAGGGAAGGCACATACAACTGTATGAAGGAAACTGAGCATTTAGATTTCCTCATATCTATATTCTAAGACTATCCATACTATAGATCTCCTTTAACAAACAATCCAAGTTTATTTACTTACAACATGTTCAACTGAAGCTCCACTGCGAAGAATAATCGCATCTGTGAAATCTGGTCTTTCTGTGCAGATAAAAAAAACATTAGCAGCAGTCAGTATCCGTATTTAAAGGGGGCATATATAACGTTCATGTAACATGTTGTGGATATATCTTTATTGTCACTAATTAAAAGGGATCACATTAAAAAAAAAAAAAAATAAGTCTTCATTTGCTTGCTATCTCTGGAGAGGTCCATACAAACCAAAAGGATGAAGCAAACAAAAGTGACAATATACTTTTTGTTATTATTACTGGTGAGATAGCGCAGTGGGCTAATGCATCAACACCTATATGCTCTTAGCAAAGGGAACTATTAATACATAAATACATACAATGGATGTGCAGAAGTCATAGGATCGTGAAATATTGGGCATTTCAGGGTAGCCAGCCTTCATCCTGGGCATGTCTGGGAACGGGCAGGAGGATATCTTTTAATCCATACATTTGCTGGGGATTTCTCTAGCACAGTGTACAGATCACACTTTTATAGCTAGAGGAATGGACGACCCTTTCACACAGATTTCGCAGCTGATGAATCCACTTTAATACTAGTACCTTGGCACTGTGATGCCCAATCCTTGATTCTTTCAATAAGCAATAACTGCGGATTGTGCCATTGGCCGGGAGCAAAGTCAGAGATTCTAGCCTTCCAGTGAAAGCAATGAACATGCTATCATAGGTAGGATAAGTGAGCTGGTAAGACTTGTGACACCATGTGATCCATACGGGATCTGTAAACATTCTTGGATTTTACGTGCTACACCATACTAAATACTAGACAAAAAAACAACAAGAAAAAGGGACATTAACCCCTTAAGGACCGAGGACGGTTCAGGACCGTCATCGGCATTTTTCCCTTGCCGACCGATGACGGTCCTGAACCGTCCAAACGGTCTGGGGGTACTTACCTGATCGCCGTCGTTCCCCCGGCGGCGATCAGCGTGGCTCCGGTTGTGGGGAGACTGCCTGCAGCCCAGACAGTCTCCCCACGGCAGATTAGGACCCCTGTGGCCATGTGATCGCTTAACACAGCGATCACATGGTCACAATAGGTGTCCATAGTGCTGCCTGCAGGGGGACTGCCTGTACTGACAGGCAGTCTCCCTGCAACTGTAAAATCAGAAAAAAAATTAAAGTTAATGGTAATAAAAAAATAATAATAATTATATATGTATAAATATGATATATAGACATATATTATATCTATATAATATATGTCTATATATCATATATATATAATGTCATACTAAGTGTATTTTTATATTAATATGTACTTATATTAATATAAAAATACACTTATAATTAAATTACACACGTATATATATAATATATATAATAACTATATATATTGTATATATATATTATTATAAAATATAAATAATAAGTAATTTAAATTAAATAAAAAATTTTTAAAATAATAATAAAAAATTTAAAAAATTATATATCTATAAGAAATTTTATTCTAACTGTATTTTAAAATTAATATATATATATTTATATCAAAATACACTTAGAATGAATTTGTATATATATCTATGTATATAAAAATAAATAAAAATAATAAGAAATATACATACGTCCATATACAAAATTACATAAATAATTATATAAATATACACGTAGACTTCAAATATATAAATATGCATATATATTTAAATTCTACGTGCGTATTTATGTAATATTTTTACATAATTAAGTAATTTTATTGATTGCAATTTGAGGGACCTGCCTGCCAACCCAGGCCGAAATTCCAGAGAATTTAATTTGCTAGCACTGTATTTTACCCTGTAACGTTCTACGACACCCTAAAACCTGTACATGGGGTACTGTTTTACCGGGAGACTTGCTGAACACAAATATTAGTGATTCAAAACAGTAAAACATATCACAGCGATGATATTGTCAGTGAAAGTGACTTTTTTGCATTTTTCACACACAAACAGCACTTTTACTGATGATATAATTGTTGTGATACGTTTTCCAGTTTTTAAACACTAATATTTGTGTTCAGCGATGTCTCCCGAGTAAAACAGTACCCCCCATGTACAGGTTTTATAGCATTTTTGAAAGTTACAAGGTCAAATATATGGGTCAAATATTTTTACATTGAAAATGGCCAGGTTGGTTACGCTGCCTTTGAGAGCGTATGGTAGCCCAGGAATGAGAATTACCCCCATGATGGCATACCATTTGCAAAAGAAGACAACCCAAGGTATTGCAAATGGGGTATGTCCAGTCTTTTTTAGTAACCACTTGGTCACAAACACTGGCCAAAATTAGCGTTCAATTTAGTTTTTTTACTTTTTCACACACAAACAAATATGAATGCTTACTTTGGCCAGTGTTTTCGACTAAGTGGCTACTAAAAAAGACTGGACATACCCCATATTGAATACCCTGGGTTGTCTACTTTAAAAAAAATATGTACATGTGGGGTGTTATTCAGAGATTTATGACAGATAATAGTGTTACAATGTCACTATTGATAAATTTTAAAAATGTATGTTTTAAAACCGCAATATCCTACTTGTACCTATAGCCCTATAACATGCAAAAAAAAAGCACGTAAACACTAGGTATTTTTAAACTCAGGACAAAATTTTGAATCTATTTAGCAGTTTTTTTTCATTCGCTTTTGTAGATGAGTAAAAGATTTTTCAAGTAAAAGTCAAAAAACATGTATTTTTTTCAATTTTTCATCAGATTTTTGTATTTTTTAAAAATTAAAATACATGAGATTATATAAATAATGGTATGTAAAGAAAGCCCATTTTGTCCTGAAAAAAACAATATATAATTTGTATGGGAACAGTAAATGAGAAAGCAGAAAATTACAGCCAAACACAAACACCACAAAAGTGTAAAAATATTCCTGGTCGCAAATGTACAACATCGCAAAAACAGTCCAGTCCTTAAGGGGTTAAAAGGGAACCTACGTCCTCTCTTTTTAGTGTAGATACAGGTCAGTGCGAGGTACTCCCACAGCATCTCCACTAAGAAGTCCAAGTTTAACTTCATTCCGCAACTAAAGCACAAAAATAAAGTAAAAATATATAATAAAATATATTACACACAATTCCACATTCTTTTCCTGAATCCCAATTGAAGGTTACAAAAGGCTTTACAAACACACACCTTAATGAACCAGAGATACACCAACACAATGACAAGGAGTCACCCTTAACAATGGCCAAATCTAAAATCATACATCCTGTCCACCAGACCCCCTTGCTCTGACCTCTCCTTTAGCACTCATTTCTGCAGTAATATTACAAATGTGAAACTCCGGAAAATCTCTGACCTGCTGCCATCATGCTCTATCCAGGTAGCAATGTGACCGTAACCTGCAGGACACGTACCTGATCACCACACTGTGCGGCTGCCGGGCCAGACGGTCTACCTCTTCCATTGAGATTTGGTCAATTTTATTATAAACCTGAAAGGACACAATAGAGAAGATAAAATCAATGGGAGTTGTTGCTGGCCTGACATATTTACTTATTCTGGAGGCCAACCTACATAAGGTTAACTGGAATCAATCTCAGACAACTCCAGGCTTTGGAATGCCAGGAGTCCCAAAGTACCATGGCTGGCACCGGTTTTAGGCATGTATCCTCTTAAATCACAGATGGGTTTCCATGGCGATTGCTAGTTTTTATTTTTAGAACCATGCCCAAGAAGCACCCTTTGTTCACGATCCCTGTAATGCCAGCTAGGTCCCAGATTTGAACTATTTGATTGCACTGAGGGAATATAATCTGCATCGTTACACGGCGTCTCACACTCACATATAGACAGGGCATGTAAACTCTGTTCCCAACAATAACGTCAATGAAGTCGTCCGGTGTACAGTCCTCCCTGAACAGAATCTCGGCGTTGAACATTTCTGAGGAAAGTCTGCATTAAGGAAGGATGCAAATAGGAATGGCAAGACCTGTCAGACATGTTACAGGGTCCGGGTTCCCCAAAATGACACTGGCGAATAAAGAGTATTTTATATATAGAACTCTAGGGATGCTCCACATCATTGACTTATAAATAAATCATAATCAACCATAAATTGGCCTACCTGCTTAATATTACAATTGATATCCTGTGTTAAAAAGACTTGTAATTAATTTCCCTCTAGCATTGGGGGCTGCAGCACCACATCCAACAAGTGGCTTGATGGCTATAACGGATATTGTTGGGCATCGCAAACTTTAAGGATTTTTTGTTAAACACCAATAGGTGTGGGATGTGTAAGACCTATTTATGTCACATATCAAGGAAGTGTAATTGTGCAGTAAGGAAGGCAGTTCGGTCCCTAAGCATCCACAATGACCCTCTTGACTGTCCCTCTATCACCATCTAATTTCATACCCCCACCCCCTCTCACCAGATGGCAAGCTAGGAGGTTATCTCCCAAATCATTCTGCTTTGTTTCCTCTTTGTAAAACACATACCTGAAACAGCCCTTAAAGCAGATCTGCCTATATGTTTTGTATTCTTCCCTCAATTTAAATGATTGAACAGTAAAGGCTATTTTAATCTGTATTCCTCAACCCTGATGGCAAGAAACAGCAAAAGTAAAAGACCAGTTCCAACTGTTAAAACTCCTATCCTTTTTCTGAACAGTCACAAAATATAAATTGCAGGATGTACCCGGTCACCGCTATATTTCACAATTAACATTACTGTGGTAAATATGGCAGATCCGCAACATGATACTTCATATTTGACAGCAGACACACAAAAAAAACACCTTTCTATTTAATGTCTTCACTGAACTTCAAGGCAACGGAGCACAACAAGAGTTCTGTATGCATCCAGTACTTTCCCGATACACCATTAGTATGCCGTAACATAGTATTCTCTGTAGAAAGGATACTGTATTCATGCAGAATTAACTGCACCAGTTTCTCGGAGCACTGGGTTAGGGGCACTGTGGAGTTAAAGGAGATTCCTCCTCCCTTTTTTGGCTAAAACAAAGAAGAAAAAGAAGAAGAAACAGAAAATATATAATGTATTCTTTAACAGTGGAACAGGTCAAGAAAATGTGTCCCCGAGACAGGCAACCATTGCACCATCTATGAAAGAAAAACAAACATTCTGGGAATTGATGACCACAGCAGTTGCCTATCCCAAACCAGTGTGACAGTAAAACAGTTACAAGGTTAGTCTCTACCTTAAAATAGATGTTAGGTTTGCGCTTGTTCAGCCGGATTCCTACAGACTCCAATTCTTTCTCCAGGAGACCCCTTGGGAACAAATGAAATAAATAGATGCTATTAATCTGGGTGTACACAAACTGAAATAACAGCACACTGTTAAACACGTGTGGAAAAGTCTGTGAAACGCGTTAAGTTGTTTTTTTTACTGCTTTTATTATATTATATTTTTATATTATGAGAGGGGGGATTTAACTATAAATAGGACAATTACAAGAAAACTTACAGAAACAAGCTTACAGTCTATAGGAGGTGGGGTATAAAACACATTAGGACAGGAAATAGCAATCAAATAAGGTGGGAGTGAGGCAGAGCTGGAGGAGATAATAGAGTGCTGCCCTTTAGGAGAGAGCACGAGATAGGTTTGTGAGGTAGCGGTTACTCTGGGAGGCCATAAGCTTTCCTAAAGAGAGGGTGTTAAGACACTTCTTAAACGATTGAAGACTAGGGGAGAGTCTGATGACGGTAGGCAGGCTATTCCATAGGAAGGGAGCCGCCCGCGAGAAGCCCTGCAAGCGTGAGTTGGCCGTACGGGTGCGAGCAGCGGACAGGAGAAGGTCACGGGCAGAGCGGAGAGACCGAGAAGGGGCATATCTATGGATCTGTGAAGAGATATAAGAGAGGCTAGAATCATTCAGTGCTTTATAGGTATGGGTTAGCAGCACTTTGAATTGACTCCTATAGGATACAGGAAGCCAATGTAAGGACTGACTGAGGGGTGAGGTGTGAGAGGAGCGACTAGAGAGGAAAATCAGTCTGGGGGCAGCATTCATGACGGACTGTAGCGGGGCAACATGTCTTTTGGGAAGATGAATTAGGAGAGGGTTACAAAAATCCATCCTTACTTGTGAGTACCTCCCCAATTTCTTATTTAAAAAACTAAATTAAAGAAATAATTATTTATCAAAAGTATCTTTCAATTTAAACATAACACCCATAAAAAGTATTACATAGTTTATATATTTTTTTTTTTATTAGTGAGCACTATATATATATATATATATATATATATATATATATATATAGATAGTGGATTTTGAAAAGCACTCCAAGGACTTCATATATGGTGAAAAAAATCAACTTATCTTTATTCAGCAACTGCCAACAGAGATCAACGTTTCAGCTCACATATGGAGCTTTCGTCAGGATCTTTTTTTTTTAAAATTTATATATATATATAAAATGGAATTTATTTCCCCAAGTAGGTTAATCTCATAAGAGCAGACATTAGGCTGTTAGTGTAGGACCTGCCAAAGATGGGGTACATTGACGTTGTGGCAGGCTTATGCACTGTATGATCATATAATGTAACTAAACCCCCATTATTTTTGCCTAGATTAGGTGTTTTTAAAAAACAAATAAAATCTTTCAACATTGAAGTTGCTGTTTAGTGGATAGGTGAGTGCGCTGGATCTTGTGTATTGTATTTGGCCCCCAGCAGCACCCCCATTTATGCATGTTAAGGTGAGTGCAGCCAACCCCCTCTTGTTTTATATATATTTGGGAGTCTAGCCAACTCCTTGGTTTTGCACCCCTCCCTGTCACAGGTGCCTCATCCCAGGGCCCTATTTAGCCTTGTACCGCAGAGAGCCCCAGATGGAATTTATTTCCCCAAGTAGGTTAATCTCATAAGAGCAGACATTAGGCTGTTAGTGTAGGACCTGCCAAAGATGGGGTACATTGGCGTTGTGGCAGGCTTATGCAATGTATGATCATATAATGTAACTAAACCCCCATTATTTTTGCCTAGATTAGGTGTTTTTAAAAAAACAAATAAAATCTTTCAACATTGAAGTTGCTGTTTAGTGGATAGGTGAGTGCGCTTGATCTTGTGTATTGTATTATTTAGCCCCCAGCAGCACCCCCATTTATGCATGTTAAGGTGAGTGCAGCCAACCCCCTCTTGTTATATATATAT